AAAATTAAAAATCATTCTAATAAATTGATTGTGTCCCTCTTCTCATCTCGTACGTGTCTTTCAGTATTGGAAGATCATTGAATTGCTTAGTTGGTTCAATTAAGCTGTATTCCCCCAATATTAATAACCATTAATATCACTTTTCATAGCTCCAGGTTCATCCTACATCACAGTAGCAATTTTGTTTTTCTTTAATTAAGTAAACATTAGTTGGTATTGTTATTTAGAGCAAGTTTCATGGCTAGAATTCTTTGATTCCTAATTTGGTTGGTCAAGATCCTTAATCAAGTCTGACTTCAATCATATTGCTGAAAAGAGGTTGGTGTTAGTCAAAGCTTATTGGTTTGTTTTTTCTTTGGCACGTTATTAGGTGGTTTAAAATAACAGGAAAGTATAACCTTAATCAGTAAATTATGTCACATCTTGCTTTCACTTGCAAGTAGCATTTTTCTTCTACCAAACTTAGTCGGATCAATAAATATAAAATATATAGTTATACAAAAAAAATAAAAGATTTACCAGATAATTAATAGTTGACCGAAAAAGTTAATTGTTATCCTAAATCACTGAGATTTAAGAATTTATTTAAAGCAAACATATACATAAATAGACATACACATGCTAGAGTAAGGATGGCATGTGGGCCGGTCTCGGGCCTAAACGGGCCAAGTGGGTTGGTCCAAATGATCTCGGGCCGGTCCCAAATTAAACGGGTCAAATGGTCTTTTATAAGAATCGGTCCGGGACCGGGCCCACGAACTCATGATCCCGGGTTAAATGGTCCTGGACCGCGGGCTAAGTGGGTCCAACATTTTTTTTAAAATTAAATAGAAATTAGAGACAAAAAAATATTAAAAAAATATCTAAGGCAATGTCTTATAAATTTTATTGTATAATTGTGAACTAAATTTTTTAATTCAAATTTAAAGTCTAAAGACAAAAATATTGTAAAGAGATATTCAAAGCAATGCCTTGTTATTTTATTATAGCATTAAAAAAATATGACAATATCTTTGTTAGTTTTCCTTCACCCTATGGAATGAGCTTGATGTGCTAATACCACCATTGAAAAGAAAAGGAAACTAATCAAGATGTGCCAAAATACAAGTTACATAGTACATACTAATTTTTGTTCATACAGGTTACATGGTATCTCTTACAAACTTCATAAATCCATCAAGGTCCGGAGGAATTTCCGTTGGTGGTGGCGGAAAAGTAGCTTGGTCATTGTCACTTCCGGGCGAAGCAGCATCCT